GTTGAAATATGTTTCTTTTTAGGTTTTTTCTATTGAGTGCCCTTGAAGTATCAAATAAAATTAAGTTACAAACTGTGCATGGATAGTCAATTTTTGTTTTTAAAGCCTTTTAAGGATCTCCATAGCTGTTAAGAAAAAAAAAGGAATTACAACCATTAGCTTTTTTAAAATGTTAATGGCATAAAATTACTAATAGAAAATGTCATTGTGTAGCATTTTTCTCATATTTTTTCTTTTATTCCTTTATTTTCTTGAAGAGCTAAATAATATAATATCACTCAGTTCCCAATCAACAAAAGTATTATACCTTTAGTTATTATTTTTGTAGTAATTGTTGGCTACTCATCATTCTATTAAAATGTTATTCATAATACGGAATATATATACTTGCAAATTTTTTCTTTAAGTTTTATGTTTGATATTTCAAAGACTTCTAGTAAGATGAGAATTGAAGTAAATGACCAAAAAGTTAAGAAGATTAAACAGAAAGATGTTTGAAGATAAGACTACATAGTTACTGAAGATAGAAACAGCAAGGGATGAGCAGAGGACTGATGCAAGAGACAACAGAAAATAAAATCATTGAGTAGGAGAAGATATACTTCAGGGTCCAGTGCCTTGAATACAATAATCATGTAGTTATCAAAGACAACCAAAATAATGGAAAGGATGAGGAGAAAGTACCACAGTGACAGAGGTTCTAAGGTCACTAATGAGATGTCTTAAGGGGACTGCTACAAGGTAGATAGCTGATGGTAAAGTTAATTTCAGGAACTTAAAGGAATTGGAGATTCTTAAAGGTAGAAGGAGAAAAAAATGAATGAGCAATACTAGATGGAGCCAGCTTCCACTGGCAAAAGAAATGAAGGAAATTCCCCATTAAAAGATTGAAGAGGATAGATCATGTGTTCTATATGGGTGCAATGATAGAAGAGCTAGAGGATGGAGAGGAATGAGAAATTGCACTAGGGTTTGCAGGTGCGTAGTGTTATGTGACTGGGGGATGGAAAAAGAACCGGAGACTGGGGAAGTTTCATTTAGTATGCTAGGTTTAGTTGGACCGGTCTCTTGGGAGAAAGTAGGTACTGCTGTAAGAAAAAGTGCATGGTGCCGCTAGGAGACTATTTTTCCCTGGGGTAGTGGTGGCCAAGGAGTGCAAGAACGCCAGATCAGGAATGCACTCTTGTACAAGCAAGAAGCACTCAGAGAGGTAGGGCTGTTTGGCTGAGCAAAGGTCATGTTGCCAGGAAAAGAAGATCAGACCTTTCCACTTTATTTGGCAACTGTATGTTGAGTCTCCTAGAACAAAACGCTTTCAGAAACCCCGTGTCACTTCCCCATCACTGGCACAAAATACTCAATACCCACAACTTAACAGAAGAGGGATTTATTTTGTTCACAATTTCAGTGGGTTCAGTGCATATTTGGCAGAAACTTCATGGTGGAAGGGCCTGGTGGAGGAAAACTGCTTGTGTGATGATGTATAGGAAGCAGAAAAAGAAAGGAGGAACCATGCACACGAATACACCTTTCCAGGTAACTCCCCCAGTTGCCCACCTCCAGCCATGGCCCACCTCCAAATAGCACATTCAGCTACTGAACTCATTGGTGAGTATAACGCCCCCACGATCCCATCATTTTCCCAAAGCCCCACCTAGGAATACATGAGACTTTGGGGAGATATTTTAGATCTAAACAACAACAAAGCCTAAATGGAGTCACTTAGATTTAAAATGAATAACTGGTATTGTGTATTTGAAAAAATAAAAAAGATGGGGGCAGGAGTGATGGAAGAGGTCATTGTTGGGTAACAGTCGCAAGATGCTTTGTACCTGAAGAAGCATTTTCTGTTTTGTTGGTTTGAAGGCTGTAATTGACCAGGAGGAGACAATGTGTCATAGAAAGCTAGTCTTTTGTTATGGTGAAGAAAATAAAGCAATGGCAGGAGGTTACTTTTCCCATTATATGCCAAGAAATGGGAGTAATCCAAGTGTCACTGAAATTACACTGACTTTCACACACAATTTAAAGTGCTAAGCAAAGTTCATTGTTCTAGGAGAGATGATAGCAATTGAAAATTAATTTAGGGATGAGGAGGTTCTTTATACTTCTGTAGGTTAAGTCTAAATTTTATAAGAGCTTTGAGTTTATTAAAGTATGGAACTATCCTCCCCTATAAAATCACTTTAAAGAGATAAAATTACACTTTAGTGTTGCAGGAAATGAAATAGAATAGCTTATGATGCCAGGAAGTTATTTGAAATTTTATTCAGCCATCTTCCAAGATATACCTTGAAAAATCAATGCTGATAAAAATCAGTATTGAGTAGAATGTCATTTGATCCTCAAGTGAGTATACTTGTTAACTTTTAAAATTTTTTTCATAAATTTTAACAAGACACAAAAATAGAAACTATCTGTTCACAGAAGTTATTTATAACTCTAATCTTGAAAAAAATCAATGCTTTTGATCAAATAACATTTGATCGCTCAAATTCTACTTGTGCCTTTCTAAATTTTTTTCTACATTTATTGCCTTAAAAGACAGAATATTGTAAAGGCAATGTTCTACCTTCATGTGATTAATCAATCATATACATAAATTACCCTCAATGATCCAAAAGCTAACCTTCCATTTGTCTTCTGTGTGAAATATTTTCCTTTCAATATTCTATCACTGTGCTGCTCAACCCTGCCATTTAATCCACTTTCAGCTTGAGAAATCAGTTTTACCTGCCCTTTAAATCCTTCCATCAGGTAATTTCTCCAGTGAAATTTACCTTGAATGTCTTAAAATATCTGAAAATGCTAGAACTGTGTTACAGATAACATATCCTCTGAATCTGAGTACCCTATATCACACAATTATTTTCTGGATATGTAGTCCCTTTTTTTAATTCCCATTTTTGATTGGTATTTTCAATTATAAACACAACAATGGGTGCCTTTATTTTTCACAGCCCCATTATTTCCAGTGGGATAAAAAAGACAATTTTCTTAACCCTCAGTGCACAGATACAGTACCCAGATGTTTATTACTTTAAGGGACTATATAAGAACAAAAGAAGATACTAATAATCCAATTGAGGAGATGTGAAATAAATGTATCTGTTAACTCAGCAAATACAAATACTTATTAAGCACATCTATCTATAACTACTACGCTAAGTGCTAAAACACAAAGTTGAACAGAAACTCTATATGTATGTTAACCACATATAATAAGTTGAGCATAGACACACACAAAAATTGTGAGAAGAAGCAGCTTCCATTTTTCTTTTAAATGTGTACTACAGATCTCCCATTGTCTCATCTCTGATCTGAAAGCTCTCTAACCTAACTGAATTCTATGGTACTGTAACTCTGAACACACAAGCAATTTAACTGTAATCTAAGAAGAAACGGACCCCCCAGAGAGTAGAGACATGGATGTCATGACACTTCCCATATAACAACAACATTAAACTTCCTCTCTGGGTCCTGCAGCTTTGAAGTATTCTCCTTTAATCAGGTCACAATCTCTATCCTGCAAGCTGTACAAAGTTGAGGAGCTTGAACTTTTTTATAAAACTATGTGCATTGCCATTGTGGAATGAATTAAGAAAGTACAAAGAGTAGTCATAGTCTTACATCTTGTGGATGAAAAATCACTAAAGGAATGTTTCAGAGTTGTACTTTTGTGACATTTTTGCTTTCAAAAATATGAAACAAAATAGAATTGAAACACTAAAATTTAGTTGCTTCTTCCCAAATGGACAGTCCTGGCTATGCACCAAGTGACATGTGCATATGTAGTTAATGAGTAGACACCTTAGTCTCTAAGGTACTACTGATACTCAACACGTTATCCCCTTCAGTTCCTGATCCCTTAGTATCAATTCTGTGTCTGATTTGTATCTGCAAGTTGAGGAGGTCTGGAGTCTGATTGCCTGTAAGAATTTTGACCAGTTGGGAAAGATGCTCATGTGTTTGTGCTCTTTTCCCTGTTGGGAAATAAAGATCTTCTTCCTTACCCCAATGTTAAGCTAATGATGAGAATGCTCATTTAGTTTATATTGTCTTCAAGAAAAGGACAAGTCATAAACATAAGACAAAAGAATAGAAATTGTAAAAGAAGGGTGGAGGAAGTAGCAAATGAGGGAATGATGAAGAGAACAGGAAAGGAAAGCTTATAATAGAGAATCAAAATTAAATTCCTGCATTTGAGAAGAAAATTAGCTCTGAGATTCTGATGACCAAATCAAAAAATAGAACCATAATGGATTCTTAAGAGATTATCAAGGGAAACAAAATTTCTCCTACCCCTGAATCATTACAGAAATTTATCACCTGGGCCTTAAAGCAGGAGAGTCATTTGGATAATATAATAGATGGAAACTCCATTAGCAATCTATTAAAATTCTGATCAATTTCTTAGATCTTCCCTGGATAAATCATATTAAATATGTGCAAGTTGGAGCTGGCATCAAACTAATATTATTACAACATAAAGTCCATGACTGTATTTTCAAGTAATTTAATTCTCTATTGCCATTACTTTCAGCCCCCAATTCCCTACTCCATTACCTATAGTGCTCTAATTATTCATTAAAATGCTTTATGTAATCATTAATAGTATAGGTTTTACTCCCCCTACACTGGGAATAAGGCTTAAAAAATGACATGTGAACCTAGAATCTTAAATTGGCTCTTCATCACAATTACCTGGCAGGCTAAAGCATGATACTCAAATCCAGCTCTCAAACTTTCTGATTTATAGCTCTGGGTATAGGCCTAGAAATCTGTTGTTGTTTTTAAAGATGTTCTCCTTTGTAGTCAGACATTTAGGAGTCACTAATCTGATCCACTTCCTGCCTAATACAGGAATTCTCTGTAAACATGGTTCAAATCAGTTGCCCAGACCACGTGGAGGGATGTTATGACATCATGAGAAAGGATGTTCCATTATACAATAGTTTTAATTGTCAAATTATATTTTTCCACAATCACAGTAACTTTAAAAATATTTCATTTCATTTCTGATTAAATTTAATTGTTATGGACTGCTAATTCTTTAAAGATTCTTTGATTCTATGTACCAAACAGTAAATGATTTTGCAAAAGAATATAAATGCATCAGGAGTTACACTGTCAACATAATTCTTTAAAAAGTTCTTTTATAAATGAAACCATACTACGTGGCCATTTAGCCTTAAGTGGCAAATTTATACATCTCTTTCTAATCTAAAAAACGTTGAACATCCTTATATCAATAATACTGTCAAGTTGATGTCTTTACCGAAAATAAATCTTAACTTTTTTCTATCTTTAAACATAATTTGGAGTTCTTTCCTCACAGTAATTATTGCTACTTTCAACTGCTTCTCTAAAAATAAACCTTCCTCTAGGAAACCACTGTCATTTCACTACTTACAGCTCTGATGTTTACAGTGTGACCTGAATTGAAGGTCTTAGACTGTTTAACATGAATAATAAGTGACTGGAATAATTTACAAGTTATGCGTTTCAAATTAAGTGAATAACAAAGAAATAAAATTTCACATTATAACGTTGAATATATCCTCCTAAGGAAGATTCATTACGTGTGAATGAGTCCCATGTGGTAAACAGGGCTATGTGAAATGGCATGAAAATAAACTTAGGTAGAGGAATATAATTTAATTAGATCTGTCATATTTCTCAAGGGGAAAGAAATATACAAAAGAGCAATTACTTTGTAACTGCATATTAAGAAGAAGAGTTGGCTATGGAACTATTTTCTCTATTTTTTACATTTTAAAATATAAATTGATTGGGTTTTCAACATAATGGTCTTTGGGAGAATTTAGTGACAATCAGACTAGATGAGCCCTCTCATTCAGTGATGTCAGAGACTGTGTCACTGGAAGCAGTGTTATTTCTTCAGTTCATTAGTATTTGCAGGCTTTTTCATAGTCCAAAGTACAGAGGTTAAAAAGCTGCCTCATTCCAGGGTACTCCAGAGTCAGGAAGCAGTCTCGACATCGGGTCATCATTCAGGTACCAGCCAATGGAGGCCGAGACTGCATGGATCCTCTCTATGAAGAGAAGGCTTGTGAGACCCCTCAAGTGTGCCAAAGCTACAGGTAACAGAAAAACCAATGCAAGCAACCAAAGCCCTTGCAAAGACCCAGTCCATCTGCTGTCAGACCATGAGCAACGGGGGCCAATACTGTTCCTTCCTTAGGCACATTGGAGTTGGAGATATTTATGGCTGTAGCTGCCATCTCTCGCCTCTACTTAGGAGAGCATGAAAGCATCTCCAAGGACACAAATACATGTATAAAGTTCCCAGCTGGCTTATTAGCTCTGATAATTTAGGGAAATGCCTTATGTTGTCATAAGCTATAAGATGCAGAAAAGTAGTTAATAATTATGAAACACATGTGCTTTAACAATCAATTTCTTTTTTCACTCGGGAGAATAGCCTAAGCATTTCTCATTTGGCTCTGAAAAGTACCTGTTTCTCATACATACTAGCCTTCTGGCCCAGAAAATGACATTGTTATCTATTCTTGTTTATTTTTGATCACCCAAAGAAAACTGTAGTTATTGAAGCTGTGTATCATCTTGATAATTTGGCCTCCTCACCATTAAGATTATTTCTAATTGAAACTTTCATAGTATATGCAGTAATTGCAACCCTGACAACAAATCAAATAAGTATGGCATCAATTAATAGAACATGTAATCACAACATAATCATTTAAGTAGAAATATCAGAGCTTTCATCTTAATAAAAGTCTTTCTTTCTAAGATAACAAACAGTATAATTACATGTTGGAACCATAAACATTGTCATATTAGCACAAATTTATTTATTTTTGGAATTTGCTTTTGTAATTGTAATTTCAGTTGCTGAGTTACTCCTACAGTGCCAATCAAAAGATCACTACACAAAAGACCTATGCCTCCAATACAGTTTCATAACTTGAAAACAAATAAATATAGTTTACTTAAATGGAGTGCAACACTTTCAGTGCTATCTGATGCATCTCTTGGCAGTCCGAATCATGGAAAAGTCTGCGTCTCCTGTAGCTCTCTGTAGAATCTATCTCTATAGATGTATCCTTGACTTCAAAGCCCATATGAAGTACTTTTGTATTTAATTCTGCTTTTTAGAATGCTCTAGTGAATATCTAAATTAAATATAAATAGGACTAAGCATTGTTAGATAATCTCCTGTTTGCTGTGGCAAGTCATGTTTTGGTGCTGCTGTGTCTCTGTGATTTGCCTTGCATTTTTCTTTCCTCCCTCCTATAGATGGAAGACTCACAAGTGGCGAAGGTGCCAGTTGGTCCCTTGGAGTGTACAGCAGGACATCCCTGGAGCACAGGAAGGCTGTGGGCCTGGACGACAGGCAAGAGGTGAGAAGCCTGTTTCACAGATAATTGGCTTTTCATTTCTCCAACTTCTTGACATTCACCACTCTCTTGATGCATTCGTCCCTTTAACAATATACTTAGTAAACAGAAGAGAATGGATAGGAATCTGCTATGACCACAGCAAAACACCACAAGACAGGATCTTTTTAAATTTTGTGTTTTAGCCTTAGCCCATTACTGGTAAATTGTTTTCTAAGTTATGACTCAAAAAAATAAAAATAGACCAAGATTTTATTTATAGCATGAGTGGTACACTGAAACTTCCTTTTGCTGTTGTTATTATTGGTTTTTAGAGCAAGATATTTTTTAACACTTTAGTTGCTACCTACAGTCAATAAAATCCATAAACACTTGCCCATATGCCTTCCACATGTGCATACATACAATAAAGTATAATTGGATAAAACTCCCCCAGAGTTCTCAGCAATGTCATTACTAACATTGCCATGGCTGTCCATTGACCCTAATAGTATCTATTACTGATTTTTAACTGGTGTATTTATTTACTCAAAAACTGCAAACTGAGAAATGCATTTTGTTTATAGTACTATGTTGTGTGGACATCTGCAAAATATCTGATTAAATGTAAACAGAAAACTGTATTTTGGTTTTTTGGTCTTCTATTTTTATAATATTCATTTTACAAATCTATATTTGAAATATAAAATGTAGTTCATAAATAATATCAACTACCTAGTGATCATTAATATTTTATTTCCTTTGTACAATTTTAATTATGTATCTTCCAATATCAACTTTGGGTAAAAAATAATTCTATCTAGACACTTAGATATATAAAAAGTAAGTCGTTCTCTCCACTTCAAACAAATCTTTGAGAAACTGAGGGATACATGATCTTTTCTTGTCAAGCACTGCTACCTCTTCCTTGAAACAAGTGTACATTTGTGTACAATTTTGGTTTTGTATAGAGTTTATAATGAAAGGGGCATGGGTTTGAGAATCAATAAACAAGTTTTAGTTTCAGTTCTCTTACTAACACAATGTAAGTTTTGTTCAGTCCTACAACTTTTGGGGTCTCAGTTCATTTAAATTGGAAAGGGGAGAAGAAAGGTTTGGACAAGTGTAAATAAGGATTAAAATGATTAAAACAAATAATTGTTAGTTTGAAATAGGAAAAGGTCCAAAGGTGTAGGGGTGGTGGGAGGGGAAGGGGAAAGGAAAGAAGGGAAAGAAAAAGTTATGAGAAAAGAAAAAAAATGGAAACGAAATCTGTGTAAAGAGGGAAGGGTGCACAGGTAATAGGGAAAAAATAAGAACCAAGATACATCATGTACAGGTACATGCACCCAATGATAAATGTAAACATATTGTATACCTAAAATGTACCAATAAAAGAATTTTTAAAAATTTGTCTTCTCAAGTCACTCCAATTCTCACTTTATGATCTATGCACAAACAATATCCAGAGATCAAAGGGTAAATTTAAAATAGGTAAAAAGATATTAAAGGTATTTTTTATAAAATTCTACTGAGTGAAATAAGAGATATGATAGAAGCAGCACAAGTGTAAAAGAGCTTCAGGTATAAAGTCTGTTCCAAACTCCACAACCTTGGATAATTTGTTTCCTGGCTTTGAGGCTAGAAACAAAAAAGGGTTACAGCACTGGGTACACATTGTCTTCATTAAATGGCAATTCTTTCCCCCTTCCTATTAATTCATTATCCCAGTGAAAGTGTACTATAGGTCATAGTAAGCATAAAAAAAGAATATTAACGTGAGCCTTTTGTTTTATTTGACACTGTCTTTACAGAAACTGTTCTTCTGTGATTATTGTTGACTTTTTCATTTCAAAACCTGGAAACCTAAATTCATTCCTCCATGTGGATGACTGCTTGGTAGGATCTAATATTCTTACCCACTCCCTCTTTGAAAAAGGGTCTTTGGCTTCCTCGGTGCTGCTTTCTCCTGCCTTTTTGGTTGTTCCTTTTTTACTGGTGGCTCTTCCTCCATCCTTAAATAATATTTTCTAATCTTTGTATACTTATCAGACTGCTTACTCTTTCTCAAGCAATCATATCCATTCTCAGGCTGTCAGGAAGAGAAAGGTGCATTTTAAAAAGTGATTTCTGCAAAAATGTACTCCAAAGACCCCCTTTCATTCCCATACATAGACAATTTTTTCTTTGTTGTTTCAGAGGATATTTCTTTTTCTTAGAATCTATACTTCTAGAGAACATAAAATAGAGAAAGAGATATATTGCTAGTGAAAAATAGGCAAAAGTTTCTTGCTTTTATGTTCATGGTTGTTTTCAGAAGTCTGCATGAATGCATGAATGACCTGCCAAAATCCACCTGTTTTGATCTTTGTCTTTATGTGGCCAGAGACCAAAAGCAAATGCTGTGCTGTTTTTTAATGATTAAAATAGTTGGGTAGTAACCATTAAATAAGTCAGGAAAAGACTATAGATTAGATACCTCTGTCTTAGCTAGTACATCAGACTTTCTAATTCCAGCTAATTGCTCAAATGTGATTGTATAGAAGCCTGTGTAGAAACCCTAAGTATTATGAAAGGATGAAAATATTCATATCAGAGGGCCTGCACTTACTAGGAAATGGAGTGATTAACAGCCCAACAAGTAGAAGGTGAAGACCAAAATTGATCAATTGCAAAACCATCATTTGAAACTAAAGAATTTAAGAAAGACCTGAAAGATGGGCTTGAACTTGGTTTGTACCATTTTATCAGAATAGAAAAACAGAATATAAGATAGGATCAATTCTATAAACTGGGCATTTGAGGTTAGAAAAGCAATAAATATCCTCACAGAAGAGTAGAGAGATTGAGGCTCCACAGATGTGAGCTGGAGCCTGGGATGATTATTGTGGAGAGGAGCTGTACCTGTCAAGATCAGTATTTTAGTCTTTATCCCATAAGTGGTAGGAGCAAGAACCTGACAAAAGCAGGATCTTATCTGTCAGCATGGGGAGAATAAATTAGAAAGATAAGAATCATGGGCCTGTCTGCCAGCTAGGATGCTGTTGGAGTAACAGAGTAACAGAAGATCAGACTGAAGCCACAGTAGTGGAAATGGGCAAAAATAAATGTATTTTGGACTCGTTATAGTAGAAAGTATTTCTAGGGCTTGATGGCAAACAGTAGAAGGAATGATAGAAATGAGTCAAAGGTGAATGTATGACTCTTTTTTTTCTATGTAAATACAATACCCCATTTATTATTTTTTAATAACAAAACATTCATTGGTAAATTTTAGGCACACAATGATAACACTCATCATAGGGAATTTGCAGGAGGATTGCTATGAGTTTGAGGCCACCCTGAGTTGCATAGTGAGTTCAAGGCCAGTCTGAAGTACATAGAGAGACCCTGTCTCAAAAAATACAAAAACGAAAATGAAAAAAAAGAAAGAATGTATGATTCTTTAACTCCATTATTTTCAGCTTGAGAATAATTCCTTTGCTAAAAGTTCTGAAGCTTGAAAATAGAGTTGATTTTGGAAAATTTATTTAGTACGTTTTGCAGTTGAAGCCATAGCAGGGTAGCCAAGTGGAAAAATCTAAGTATATATTTAAAATGTAAAGATAGCTTACTTAGGATGGCAGATAGAAATTTGGACACTTCCACAAAGTGATTTGCTGAGTCATAGGAAAAGCTGAGATCTCCAAGGTATATAACATATTTTAAAAAGTGGACATTGTGTTTTACAATTAGATTTCTTTTTCTCTACCCTGCTCACATTTGTATGCTCATTAAGCATTTCTTTTAATCTAATTTCTTTTTAGTCTAAAGAATTTAACTTCAATATAATCAATATTAAATTACATTTTTCTTACTTGCACTGGAAATTCCACCATGTAAATTAAAATATGACCATTTTAACATTATTTACCATTCTATGGTTCTAAAGATAGAAATATTTGTTGTATGGGTTTTATCAAAGCACTTATACCAAAAGTCAGCCAACCAAATCCAGGCCACAACCCATTTTGTTGTAATTAAAATTTTATTGGAATACAACCATGTCTGTTTCTTTACGTATTTCCTATGGCTTTTCTCAAAATGCAAAGTGAAATTGAAGAGCTTCCCAAGGCCAAAAATGTTTATCATATACCCTTCACAGAAAAGGTTTACTGACCCCTGGTCTAAATGCAGAAGCATGTAATCAGATACAGTCACAATGTCTAGTAATATTGTTCATTACCAAATAGGATACAAAAAGCCCTGGAGACTAGCTAGTCCTAGGGAATAACTTTCCAAATTCAGTTCAGCAATGAAGGAACTATTTTACGGATATGAGACGAGTGGACCATAAAGAATGTGACAGTAATAAAATAACTGCCTTTAGGATAAAGTTGCAGCATTCTTGGTTGGGAGGATGATTAGGAATAAAATGTTGATTCCTTGAATTTTAGTACTAAAAATAAAAAGTTCAAGGTAAAATCTGAAAATAATGGGATATGAAAGACAAGAGAAAAAAATATTCCAGATCCTCAAAACTTCCCTGTCTAAAAGATGATAAATCATATCTAATAACTGGGTATCAAATGTTGATTTACTCAGTTTGACTAGAAAAGTGTGTTTCATAAATATGCACCACTCAGCACAACACAAAGTCACTGTTTGTTTTTCTCAAAATACTTGAACTTTTCATATTAGTAAAAATGTAGAAAAACATTACACTTAATTGTGTTTTATTATCTTACTAGGCAAGCATCCTTGGCCTTTTACTTAGTTATTTGTGCTTACTTTTAGTCACCTGTTAATGAAGCGGCGACTATAGACCGACTTTCATTTTTGCTCTTAATACTATGAATAGCCTAATTATTCTCCTTCTGTATGACATGTTTTGAAGAATTTAGAGAGCATTCCCATGGTATCTTTAATAAATAATCAATTGCAGTTGCTTAGGAACCCTAGCACTGATACTCACCATAAAGAAAATTTGTGAGAATCATCCTCATCTAGAAGTGAGTTAGAATGACACAGGAGTCAGAAAATAA